CCCCTTACACACACCTAATACCAAAAACGGGATAATAGAACTGGTGATTTCTAAATTTAAATGTGCATGTGGATTACCTGGGATTCTTATTCGAGATACCTGGGTTGGAGCCAGTATTCTACATTTCTAACAGGCTACCAAGTGATGCCTGGGTTGCTAGTCCATGGATCATTTAATAGTAGTTTGACCTCCAAAAAAACCTGGCTTTCTATTTTGTTGAAGAATGCGTCAGTTCCACCCTTCCTGCATTTTGTTTCCGACTAAGGGCACAAACAATCTTTGTGTTCCATTGTGATTGGGATGAACTTCAGGAGTCAAATTAAGAGCCATCATGTTCCTTTGTAATTACTGAAATTATTGACAATTCTTCAGATGCCTGAGGAAGTGCACCATGGAGAGGAGGAGGTGGAGACTTTTGCCTTCCAGGCAGAAATTGCCCAACTCATGTCTCTCATCATCAATACCTTCTATTCCAACAAGGAAATTTTCCTTCGGGAATTGATCAGCAATGCTTCTGATGTGAGTGTTCTGGTTTGTTTGTTTTTTTCTTTAAAGCATTCCAGAAAAGTGATTATGGGATGGTTTGGTATTTCGAGGGGTGTACTACTGAAGGAGATAGATGTGTTATTTTTGTCTATGTGGATAGATGGGATATCGTAACTGGTTTTTAAACTTCAAGTTAAGGAGTAGTCAGAATTGAGAGTATTCGAGAGTAAAAAAAAGTTTCCTTTTACATGAAGAAATGGGTTTTAAGAAAGCAGAATTGTAAGATTGCAATTTCTATTTCCAGGCCTTGGACAAGATACGCTATGAGAGCCTGACCGACCCTTCCAAGTTGGACAGTGGTAAAGAGCTGAAAATTGACATCATCCCCAACCCCCAGGAACGCACCCTGACTCTGGTGGACACAGGCATTGGCATGACCAAAGCTGATCTCATAAATAATCTGGGAACAATTGCCAAGTCTGGTACTAAAGCATTTATGGAGGCTCTTCAGGTATGTGGTATTTATCCATGGCACACGCACAAAACATGTTTTCGGTTATTTTTTTCACAATTTGTGTTTGACTTCTTAAAACTTTTTGCCAGGCTGGTGCAGACATCTCCATGATTGGACAGTTTGGTGTTGGGTTTTATTCTGCTTACCTGGTGGCAGAGAAAGTAGTTGTAATCACAAAGCACAATGATGATGAGCAGTATGCCTGGGAGTCTTCTGCTGGAGGTTCCTTCACTGTACGAGCTGACCATGGTAAGTTGGCTTTCCTGTAAAGGTGTCTGGATTAGAATTTTGGGGAAACCTAGAATAGACATCTTGAGTGTTCTACATGTAAAACAGTTATCCTTCACTGCAGTTACATGTTTAGTTTTATTTTCTCATACTCTTGTGATTGATTTTTTTCTAGGTGAGCCCATTGGCCGAGGTACTAAAGTGATCCTCCACCTTAAGGAAGACCAGACAGAGTATTTAGAGGAGAGGCGGGTCAAAGAAGTAGTGAAGAAGCACTCACAGTTCATAGGTTATCCCATCACTCTTTATGTGAGTATGCACTGGAAACTTACATGCATGTCCACTGCTCTAGAGAATTAATTGCATGGTCTCAGGTGTTCTGTACTCTGAAAGTATTGTTTTTGGTACTTCCAGTTGGAGAAGGAACGAGAGAAAGAAATCAGTGATGATGAAGCAGAGGAAGAGAAAGGTGAGAAAGAAGAGGAAGATAAAGATGATGAAGAAAAGCCTAAGATAGAAGATGTGGGTTCAGATGAGGAGGATGATAGTGCTAAGGATAAGAAAAAGAAAACAAAGAAGATTAAGGAGAAGTATATCGATCAGGAAGAACTGAACAAGACCAAGCCCATTTGGACCAGAAACCCTGATGACATCACCCAGGAGGAATATGGAGAGTTCTACAAGAGCCTGACCAATGACTGGGAAGACCACTTGGCAGTCAAGGTGAGAACTTGCATGCTGGCTCAATAGGAGCAGGTAGAAGGGTGTTGCTGTTATAGACAAATTGAACTTGTCCAGCTGGTTCGTAGCTAGAAACTATGAATGCCATGGAGCCACATAAGTTTACTTAACTGGTGACACTTCCACCGGATGGAAAAATGGCATCCTTCCCAGTGACTTCACTTTGTCTCCATAGCAGTCTTACACATCCTGGGTCTGACTTTGTTAACTCAAGGATTATACAGAACTTGTACCATTCTAGATTCATTTGAGACATTAGGGCTTAATTTTTTCAACAAGTCCCCTGTAGAGTACTCTATCTGTAGTGCTTAGGGAAGGAAGATCTTGGTTCTAAACAGTCTGATAATTTGGTGTTGGAACTAAAAGTAATTCTTTACCTTGAAATGTATTATTGGCTTAACTTGGAATTTCTTTCAGCACTTCTCTGTAGAAGGTCAGTTGGAATTCAGGGCATTGTTATTCATCCCCCGTCGGGCTCCTTTTGACCTTTTTGAGAACAAGAAGAAGAAGAACAACATCAAACTTTATGTCCGCCGTGTGTTCATCATGGACAGTTGTGATGAGTTGATACCAGAGTATCTCAGTGAGTATCTTAGCCAAATGTAGTTAGTTGGGTAAAGTCCTGTTGAAGCCTTTAGCATTCTCAAGGAGATTAAAGTTTTTAAATCTCAGGTAATTAAGGATGGTTTGCAATAGCAAGTGAAGATTCAGTGAGAAAATGTGTTATGCTGAATCTAGATGACCCCATCTCCTTTTTTTTTTAAACTGAGTTTCCTTCCCTGTTTGCAGATTTTATCCGTGGTGTGGTTGACTCTGAGGACTTGCCCCTGAACATCTCCCGAGAAATGCTCCAGCAGAGCAAAATCTTGAAGGTCATTCGTAAAAACATTGTTAAGAAGTGCCTTGAGCTCTTCTCTGAGCTGGCAGAAGACAAGGAGAACTATAAGAAATTTTATGAGGCATTCTCTAAAAATCTAAAGGTAAGAAAGAAGCAGGGGCTTAATTTTTTAATTATGGAATTTTTTGCATTCACAAAGAAGAGCGAGAGAGTATTTCCAAGTAAGATATTTTTTTCTGCTTTCCACCCTTAAAGCTTGGAATCCATGAGGACTCTACTAATCGGCGACGCCTTTCTGAGCTGCTGCGCTATCACACCTCCCAGTCTGGAGATGAAATGACTTCTCTTTCAGAATATGTCTCTCGCATGAAGGAGACCCAGAAGTCCATCTATTACATCACTGGTGTGTTGGACCCTGGGTCTGATCTAAGACTCCTTAGAGGTGTTTTTTTGGGATGCGGAGGCGGGGCATTCAGGGGTGCCTGGGGAACTGGTGGTGCGAGGTGTTCTCATTTCTGAGTCACGTTTAATAACCCTACAGGTGAGAGCAAAGAGCAGGTTGCCAACTCTGCTTTTGTGGAGCGTGTGCGGAAGCGGGGTTTTGAGGTAGTATATATGACAGAGCCTATTGATGAGTACTGCGTGCAGCAGCTCAAGGAGTTTGATGGCAAGAGCTTGGTGTCAGTTACCAAGGAGGGCCTGGAACTACCTGAGGATGAAGAGGAGAAAAAGAAAATGGAAGAGAGCAAGGCCAAGTTTGAGAACCTGTGCAAACTCATGAAAGAAATCTTGGATAAGAAGGTTGAGAAGGTAAGCAATTTTGGGACTAGGATCTATTTTGTAATAAATGCCCTCAGGGCTGTTACCCTCAGAATCTGGTGGCACTATTAGTGATTTAAACAATCTAATTTATTTAGAGCCATCTTAACTTTTTGCTCTCTTAACCAGGCAGATTTAAGGTTGTCATTTCTCTAAAGTTTGGCAAAGATTAGATGTTGCTTCTGAGTTTTTTCTGAGAGTGGAACTTAAAATACCATGTTTTGCAAGTGGTAACTTGGTTTAATATAAACCTAAGATTTTTTGATTGTCCATAGGTAACAATCTCCAATAGGCTTGTGTCTTCACCCTGCTGCATTGTGACAAGCACCTACGGCTGGACAGCTAACATGGAGCGGATCATGAAAGCCCAGGCACTTCGGGACAACTCTACGATGGGCTACATGATGGCCAAAAAGCACCTGGAGATCAACCCGGACCACCCTATTGTGGAGACTCTGCGGCAGAAGGCAGAGGCAGACAAGAATGATAAGGCTGTCAAGGACCTTGTGGTGCTGCTGTTTGAAACTGCGCTGCTCTCTTCTGGCTTCTCACTTGAGGATCCCCAGACCCACTCCAACCGCATCTATCGCATGATCAAACTAGGTCTAGGTGAGCACCCATTTACCCAGGTGTGGCAAGGAGTTGGGGAACTGGTCTCATGGGGACAGAATGGATTTACTGCTTTTTGAATCAAATCTCATGTGACTTTCTTTTTCCATTTTTAGGCATTGATGAAGATGAAGTGACAGCAGAAGAACCCAGTGCTGCTGTTCCTGATGAGATCCCCCCCCTTGAGGGTGATGAGGATGCCTCTCGCATGGAAGAAGTAGATTAGATTAGTTTTTACTTGCAGGTCTTATGCCCTTTGTATAGTGTCTCTATTTCTTCCCCAGCAGCCTTGAGTGGCCCTGGCCCACGTGGTTTCCTCTACTGATGTCTAGTGTTTTTTTCTGTCCTGTCTTTCTGCCTAAGGCAGGATACAAGGGCCTCAAGCCTTCCCTTCCCACATTTGACATCGGGTTAGGATGTTGTGTGTTGTGGGGTTTTTTTTGTTTTGTTTGTTCCGAAATTAAAGTATGCAAAATAAAGAAGATGCCGTTTTATACAGTTTTGTGCTCCCTTGTAAAGTGGGTAGAATTCTGCCTTTGAGTTTCCTTAGCTTTTCTATCCCAAGTTTTAACCTGACATCCCAAGGTACAGGTTAATAGTACATGTATATACATCGAAAGCTTTAGGGTCACTGGGGACCATGTGTAGTATTTGAAAGCACAGTCAAACCAAAACACAGGACTAAGACCACTGCAGCAATTTAATTTAATAAAATAAAATTATGAGCAGAAAGATACATTTCCAAAGTACCAACACCTGCAACTGGCTCATGGTACAGAGCCTAGGGATCCAGGAGCATGGTGGGGTGCTGGCCTCTCCCATCCCCCTCCCCTAGCACAGCACCATCTCTCACTTCTAGGAAAGCAGCATCAGAGCTGACAATACTTGTGCTTTTCTCACCAGAGTAAGAAATGCAGGTCTCTGGAAGTCTGAAAGGGTGGCTATTCAAGGTGTAGGGGACAAGCACAGGTGTGAGGTGTTGGTGGCAGAGCCAACAGGGTGAGACTTCAAAGAACTTGATGGGGGAAGGCAGCCCCCCCTCCACACTGAGGATTTATATTCCCTGGGGCTCAGAATTCCTGCCTACTAGAGGACTGGTGACTTAAGGCAAAAGGGAAGGCTGCCTCCTGGGCTCCCTACTCCCAACTGCAGAGCTGGTTTGTGATACTGAGAAAACACCTGCATTTTGCTCTTGAACCAGATGCCTCTGAGAAATTACAGTAGGAGAGGAAAACAGTATGGTAGATATGGTCAGAATACCAGTTCACTTCATCTCAGGTCTCAAACCTTCTGCACAGGGGACTCTACAGGCACAGCCTTCTTTCCCCGTTGTTTTAGCCGGCCCCGGGCATAGACTCGGAGCAATAGGGCAGCAAAGACCACAGCCACCCCCAGCCCCCCAACTACAGTGATGGTGTGACCATAGAGGAGGCAGGAGAGGAGAATAGCAAAGGCCTGGCGGAGGGTCATGATAATGGTGAAGACAGCAGCCCCAAACTGTCCAATGGTGTAGAAGATGAAAAGCTGGCCGCACGCAGAGCAGACTGAGAGCAGCAGAGCATGTGCAGCAAACTCACTATGTCGCCCCATGAAACGGGTCCCTTCTAGGAGGGCCCCCTGCTCCAGCAGGGAGCCCACTGTGAAGAGGCAGGAGAAGAAGTTGACCCCAAACATCATCTGCACTGATGACATCTTATAGGCAAATAGGGCATCCTGCCAGTTTGAGGTGAAACTGTCAAAGGCGATGTAGCCAGCCAACAGGATCAGGCCTGAGACCGTGGTGGCCGGAGAGCTGCGGGGCTCTGGTCCACTGGACAGCAGAAACATGCTGACTCCAATGGAGATGAGGCCAGCTGTCAAGTATTCCCAGTATTCGTAGCTGCGCCGAGATACCAACTTTCCCATCAGCATGACAGGAATCACCTTAGAGGCTTTGGCCAACACCTGGGTGGGGAAGCTGACAAACTTGAGAGCTTCATATTGGCACCAGCTGCTGAGCACGTTTGACAGGCTGGCAAAAGAGTACCGGTACATGGGTGCCCCATGCCGGGGCTGCTTGCAGAGGAGGCAGTAGACACCAGCCACGATCAGTGCCAGCACTCGGTTCATTAGCACCAGGAACTGTGAGTCTGTAAAGCGCTCACCTGCC